GACGGCGTCCAAACCGGCCGCCCTCAGGAACGCACGGAGACGCGGAGAGGTATGCACGCACGCCGCTGGCCTGCTTGGCCGCCTCGGCCGATGATGGCACAGTTGGCCAGGCCATGAGAAGACCGCCGCGTCGCCCACGTCTCCTGCGCTCGCTCGGCGCGTCGGGCTGCTCGCCCTCCGCCGCCCTCTGCGCCAGGCGCGTGCGGGCGCTGGCCCCCCGCCCTGCACAAGTCGCCCGCCGCAGCCTGCGGGCCGCCGGCCCCGCCTCGGGCGAGGCGCGGGCGCTGCAGCGCAGGCGCTGGCATGGCGAGGGTCTTTGAGCACAGGGTGCGCCTCGAAGTCTGCACGCCTCGACGGCCGTCGGCGGCGCGCCGACGGTCGCCTGGCATCGCTCGGACGTGTGCATTTTTTTCCTTCGGCGAGGCCCATCGAGGAGCATCCTTGAGCATTTAGCGAAAAAAAACCGCACGAAACCGAAGAAAACACAGGGAATGGACGTCCGAGCGATGGCGAGGTCGTGGCGGCGCCTCTGCGGGGGCGCCTCCGCGTGCTGGCTGCCAGACTGGCCGCTCAGCGCCCAGCGGACGCTGGGCCCAACATGACCTCGGCGGCGGGGTGGGCCAGGAGGACCCTCTGCGGCTGCGCGCCCACGCGGGAAGGCCGGTGGGGCAGGCCTTCTCCGGAGACGATGTTGGGCCCAGCATCCCCGAGACGACGAGCGGCCCCATCCGGCAGCCAGCACGCGGAGGCTCCTCCGCAGAGGCGCCGGCGCCTTCCCCACCGGAGGTGTGTCGACACCTTCCCGCCCCCCATGCGTCGCCGCTGCCGGCGTCACACGCGGTGCATGGAGGGCTGCCTATCCGCCACGAACGGTTGCCGGCGCTACGGCGCTGTCCGCCTCTGTCGCGACCACAGCCATGCATGGCCACGCCGCTGGGTCAATGCGAGGTGCTCGGCACTCCCGTGGATTCCAGCGCTAGGCTTGTCGTGAGTGTCTGCCCGCTTCCGCTGTTGCGATTTTTCCTGGTGCACGCCGGGAATTGGAGCTATCAGCAGGCCTGCGGCCCGAATGGCAGGCGCACGTCTTGTCGACGGTCGCTGCCGAGTACTGTCCGCATGCGGTGGCGGCCGGTGTGTGCGTCCGTGCGTGCGTGCGTGCGTGCGTGCGTGCGTGCGTGCGTGCGTGCGTGCGTGCGTGCGTGCGTGCGTGTGTGTGTGTGTGTGTGTGTGTGTGTGTGTGTGTGTGTGTTTGTGTGCGCGTGCGTGGACTCGTGCGTCGCTTCTACGTCCCCTCGCCGCGCTCTCTCCTACCCTTCCTGCCATTGGGACTGTCTTGTCAGGAGAACGGTAGATGTTGCGGTGGTGTCTCTTTGGCAGTCGACGCGGCGGACTCCTTCGAGGACGAAGCCCTGGGGACGCTCCTCGTGTTTCTCTGACACAGGGGCGCTTCTCATCCTAGGTGCGAGCGGCCTTCGCGGCCCAGGGACTCCCATAAACGCATCGATGGATGGCGGCAGCTGGGAGACCCGCGCCCAAGGACTCGTCACACAATGATGGCTTGCACAGACCGTGGCCACTGAGCCCAAGGAAGCCGGCTCATGGAAGTCCCTCGTCTCGCAATCGTCGGGAGTTTTCTGCGTGCCTGTTTGGGTTGGCACGCGCGGGCTGGTGCCTGCAGGAAGAACTCCTCGGAAGACCGCAGGCGGCTAGGCGGGGTTCTGTCGGACAACGTCGCAGGAGTCGCGCCCGGTAGCCAGGAGAAGAATGAGCAGGGCGAGGAGAGGGAGGAAATGATTACAGAGTCTAGGAAGAGGAGGAGGAGGAGGAGGAGGAGGAGGAGGAGGAGGAGGAGGAGGAGGACGACGAGCACGCCGACAACGACGTCTCGGATGATGACGAGGACGAGAACGAGGAGAAAGAGGAAATCAGAGGAGGGTTATAATGAACGGCAGCATGATGAGGATGAGGAGGAGGAGGAGGAGGAGGAGGCGATGAACGTGGAAGGGAATAGTTCGCATCAGCAGTATTGAGAAGCAAATTCGTAAAAGAAGGGGGACCAAGGAAGATCGGGGTGGTTGAGGATGACAAAGAGGCCCGTGGATGAAGAGGAGGATGTGGAGAAGGAGGACCAGGCGGAGGAGGAGGAGGGCACTCAGGACGGGCAAGGAGAAGGGGGGACGAGGAACATCCGAGGGAGGACAAGGGGGGGAGCCAGACGAGGAGGGTGAGCGGGCTCGGGGAGGAGGCCGAGGCACCACGTCCGATCCGAACGAGGGCTGGCGGGCAGAGGAAAAAGGGGGGCGCGGGCTGGGCTCCCAGCGCAGTGGTCAGTCTGGCGCCCGTGCGCTCAGGCCGAGGACCGCCACGTAATGCGACGTCGGCTGGCCGACAGCCGCGCGGCACCAGCCGTTGCCCTGCTAGCCTTCAGTCGGGCCTGTCCTTCTACAGGGGGGATAATATTCCAAAATAGTCAAAAAAATAGTCTGGGGACTATTTTTGGACTATCTTTTAGCATTCTGGGAGTATGTTTCGGTACTTTTAATCGTTCTGCCAAAATCCCCTTGTAGGGGGACAGGCCCGACTTAATGCTAGCCACGTCGCCCCCTGGCGGACCTCGCGTCCCGACCGAGCAGCAGCAGTGCGCCAAGATTGCGCAGAGCCACGCTTTGCCCGGCCTCGGCACTCGGCGAGCAGCCCTCGCCAGACGGGGGTCTCGATCGAGGCGCGAGCGCCGCCGCGGCGGCACGTCAGAAACTTGGGCGTGGTGGCCACGAAACTCAAGGGCTCCCAGCGCCTGCGCATGCGTGCCATCATATGTGAAGCCCAGCTCTTGCACAGCGAGAGAGGCCGCAGCACCTCGCGCCCTGGGGAGGAGGCCATTGTGCCGCTCAGCTCCCACCTTGGTCAAAAACAGATGCAGTGGCGTCGGCTCGCACCTCTCTCCAGGCTGCTCCAACTTCGCCCGAGTGAGCGGGGTCTGGCCAGAGCGGTGGCACCACGTGCACCTCACCCCCGCCTTCTGCAGCCTCGAGGTCGTGAGCGAGCAGAGACAAAGTGGGCACCACCATGGGGGTTCGGCGAGGTCCAGCAGACACTGATGGGGGCTCAGCCCGACTCGCAACAAATGGAGCCGCCCGAGATAAAACAAAAAACAAGTTACGTCGCTCAGGTAAGCTTTGACAAAAGAGACGGCAGTCTCTGCGACAGCGTGCTGACGGGCACCGAGCTTCGCAAAACAGTCAGCCCACATGTTTCCAAGATACTCGAACACCGCCGTGGGCACAGACCGATCTTGGCTCGAAAGGTCCGCGCCGAAAAGGAGGGAGTCGAGGTCTCCGTGGGCAGGCGTCCATCTAAGCCTCGGACGCTCTTGGACAGGCGCTCCCGCAGGGCACATTCGGAAGATGCCTCTCCAAATGCAAGCGTGCTTGCCACTACCCATGGCCAGGCCGTCCGACCAGCGCTGGACCTCCAGCCTTTCAGACGTATGGTCGCTGATAACTTCCACACTTCTCGGGCCAACGCGCATGGCCTGCAGTAGAGCAAAACGCCCGGCCCGAGGAACGGCTTGAGTGGCCCCAGCAAGGGGCCCCAAAAGAGCCCGTATGGGCCAGCCCCCCAGGACTCAGCTCCACAACAGCCTACCCGCAGCGACATGCTTCGGGTAGACCGTTGGCCAGGCCAGAACCGTCCGTAAGAAGGCTTGGAACCCCAGGGCAGGTGAGTGGCACCCCGCGTCTGGGGAACGGATCTCGCTGGGACAGGCCCAGGGAAGGCGAGAGAGGCAGGGAGGGGAGGGCACTCAGGAGGGAAAAAAACACACAGACACAATTAATCCTCGATCCCCAGGAAAATATGGGAAAATATGGGAAGTGGGGGGGAAGACAAAAACCCAGAAAATATGGGAAAAATATGGGGACTATTTTTATTTGTGTGTATTTATTTGTGTGTCCTAATTTCCCTTTAGGCACGAAGGGCGAAGGCTGGGAGAGGGAGGAGCGAGCGGGCGCGCGCCGTCGGTCCGGCGGGCCCGCCCTGCGGAGGCAGCGCGGCCGAGCCCAGGCCCAGGCCAGGCCCAGGCCCACATCAGGGCAGAACCATCAGAAGAAGGCGAAGCAGAAGAAGGAGAAAGCGTTGCGCACAGCCGAGAACCACTTCCGCCACGCTACTCCACAGGCGTGTATGCCTCGTGCCATTCCCACCCACCTGGTGCTCGTGCTCGTAATGAGTCGCGGCTCCTAGATGTGACGCGAGATGCGCTCATTGTCAAATGCTTCCTCCGTGAAGTCGATCTGCTTTGCGCGTCGTGTGTCGTGTGCACAGTGGGGGAGCGAGGTTCCTGGGGAAGGGAAGGGTGCCATACCTCCGTCGGCTTTTTTCCCAAACCATCCTGTGGTGTTGGGTTCTCGTTCTGAAGAAATGCGCCCCGCGTTCTCCTCCTGCCTCCTTTCTCCCGCCTCCTCCCTTCTCCCATCCTGCGTCTGCCATCCGCATGTCAATCATTCGGGCATGCCCCTCACCAGGATCGTGGCAACATAGGGAGCTCCACCGAAGGCCCCAGTGGCAGGGTTCGCATGGAGGCCTCGAGCCATCTCGGCACACCCCTCACGAGGATCGCTGCAACATCACATCGGCAGCTCCACCGAAGGCCCCCAGTGGCAGGCTTCGCATGGCGGCCTAAGGCGATTTAGGCACACCTTCACGAGGTTCGTGACCCCACAGGAAGCTCCACCGAAGGCCCCCGAGGCAGTGTTCGCGCGGCGGCCTCGGGCCATTTCAGCGCACTCCTCACGAGGATCGTGGCCTAATAGGGAGCGTCACCGAAGGCCCCAGTGCCAGGGTTCGCATGGCGGCCTCGGGCCATGTCAGCGCACTCCTCACGAGGATCGTGGCCCCACAGGGAGCTTCACCGAAGGCCCCAGTGGCAGGGTTCGCATGGCGGCCTCGGGCGATTTCGGCACACCCCTCACACGCGTCTTGGCCCCATAGGGGGCGCTGGC